TATAGACACAAATATCGATTTGAAAATAGATTGACAATGAACGCCCTCTTTCTATTTGCAAAAGTTAAACATATTTAATATTCAATGCTGTATATGGATAAGTTTTTTTGTATGATTTAGAAATAAGCCTATAATATTCCTCTTCAAAATCTCAAACTAATTGATCGTTCTATATGAAAAATATAATTATAAAATATTGGCATATCATAACAAATATATTCTGAGTAGATCTATAAACTCACTTTTCTAAAATTTAGTATGAATATTGTGCTGTTTTTTTAGAATGTATTAACTATGAATAACTTATTTATGTTACGTCGTATTTTACCTTTATATCACAACAGATATAAAATATCGTTGATCTTATTGTCATCATCATCATCATCATCATCATCATCAAAAGCAATTTATTCAAGAATGAAAGGACTTATAGATTCAAAACAATATGAAAAAGCTTTATCTATTTTTGATCAAGAATCTCATTTATGTAAAGATATTGAAATCAATATGGCATTAAAAGCATGTATTAATTTAAAGGATCATCAACGTGGTATGAATATACAGAAAAAACTTTCTCAAAATTCACTTGAGAATCCTTATATTCAAACAACACTTATTCAATTTTACAGTGAGTTATACATTTTAGCAAATGAAATTCTAGCTTGAAACTACAATAATAATCGATTAATTTCATTTTTATGTACAATTCAATTGAATTTTCGAAATATTTTATCAATATTTGTTTATTATGTTAACGATGAATATGATTGTTGGTAGAACAAACACAATAACGACATTCACATCTAACCTTAATAAAATATCTCATATTAATTAATTATATTTTAATAATTACAGATCATTCAAATAATAAGTATCTTATTTTATGTTTATTTCTAGTGCAATTTCACGATATCGATAATGCTTATCGTCTATTCTCTACAATTAATAACAAATCAAATTACATCTATATAGCGATGTTTAAAGGTTATTAGAATTTTTATTCTTTCATTGATAAACTTCATTTTATTTTCAGGTCTCATTTCAAATAACATGTCAATAAAGGTGCTCGATTTATTCGACGAAATTAAAATTCAACCTAATGAGCCTATTCTCGCTCTTGTATTTCGAGCGTGCACTCGAGTTGCTACTGATCGAGCAATGAAAACTGGAAGAAATATTCTTAATCAAATGCCTA